TCGGAAGAGAAACAACCGGCGGCTTCCTTTCCGATAAATCGACGTTCTGCTACAGTTGATTTCTTCAGATGCATTTACATAGAGAAAAGAGAATTAGGGATGGCGATGGAAATTAGGGCTCGTAAGAATTAGGGTTTTCTGCGATAAGATAAGAGAAGCCTCTGATTCTGATTTGGTTCTCCCTTGAAACTGCGTCTAGTTTTCACAAATGAAGAAGACAAGCTCAGTTGCAGACCCGACAGATAGTCCCCGTTTTTTGCCCTATTTACCGATATGCCACTCAACCTTTTTTTCTTGGACGTCACTCTTCCTTTTCTTTTCTTTTTTTTTTTTTTTGCAAATCATTTTTAATTACTACTTTCAGTAAAAATGGCCAAAAGAATGTCTCTCTCTCTTGACAATTTGACAATTTGTTTTATATGATGAATATCGAATACAGCCTCTAATCGTATCGGTTATATTTAAACATATACGATATTTATTTAGATATCAAAATCATTTTATTTGTGAATAATTGAAAACTAGGAAAAAAATATACAAGCTTTTAATTTTATTATAGATTCGGGCGGTTTAGTTGATAGAGACTTAATTATTTATTCTCTACGACTTAATAATTTCAAGCATTTTATTGATAAGTACAATTATATGGGTCTACCAGCAATGACGAGCCTTTCTAATGTAAAGAAATAAAATATTATTCATCCATTAAACATAATGGTTTATACTAGCAAGTACCGGGTCAAATATATAGGCGCTTTGGAAAGCGAACGAAATTTAGGGGTATAATTGTAAATACGAGGAGTGACAGGGAGATGGAACTAGACAAACCGAAAGCTCCGGTTGGCGGTCGGAAAGCGCTTCGATTCAGCAATCATTGCTCTCCAAGTCCGGGAAAACTTGTGGGATTACCGACACGTGTCATTACTCTCCGTTTGGAAGAAGAAATGCGTTAAAACGATACCGTTTCTTTACATGTGATGAAAGCGAACCGATCATCAGACATTCAGATTCACAGAATCCCAGATTGTGTAGGGATTATGTGTGTGTGATTTAACAATTTAGATGTGACAGGGTCGGAATGTATGTATGGTCTAATCAATGTACATGTTTGCCATGTCATCATCATAACCCTTCTTCGAAGATCAGATTCAGCTTATGACAAAGATGCATGTCATGTCATCGCTTTTATCTGTTTACCTTGTTTATGGAACGCTGCTCTTATCCGGTGAGGGTGTGTGTGTGTGTGTAAACTCTTATCCTTTTGCATGGCCTTATTCTGAGTGAATATAAATCCAACCCCACACACCATCACTTTGCATCCATCCATCATAATCCAGATTAATATATATCCAAAATGGTTATAATTTTATTAAAATCGAAATAACGAACTATAAAAAAAAAACAACTGAAAACCCGAAGATTTCCATGTAAAATGAATAATTTTATCAATAAAAATTGAACCCAAACTAGAATAAAACAGAACCAAATTCATTATAAAAATTCTAAATCCGAAATAATCGAATTCGAACGTAACCAAATACCTTACCATCCATCACTTGGGAAACAAAATACACAACATGACAGATTAGGGTTTTGATCATAACAATAATCGGTAAAGGAAACCATGTAAACTGCAATGCCCATTATACTTTTACAAGTTTAGCACATGTAGAAAAGATCATATATCCTCTCTCTCCCTACTCTAGTATTATAGTACCAAGGTTACAACACAGAGAGAGATTAGGTCAAGAAAATTTTCCCAGAAGCTCAAAACTGGAAACAATGACCTTACCCCCTTCATAATGAAATCACAACCTCCTCCTCTTTTCTTAAACCAAGGGAGCAACAGGGGAAGGTAGATTATTTGTGGACATAAAAATCATGTTTTTTTTTCCTAATGTTTTCGGTGGATCCCGAGAGAGGGGGTATCAAGAAACTAATGAATCTTGATCTTATTGTAAAGTAAAATATATGTATACCTAATGTTTTTTTTCTGCCAACCTTTGAACACTGCTTTGTTGAGTGTTACAGTTGGGCGACATGGCTGGTGATGACTTCAGGGCAAGACTGAGCTTGAAGGAGTTCCAGACGCATGAACGGTGAAGTGAACTGCAGGATGTAATCTTGATCTGGAAACAGATGAACGAAATGAGTAATTTGATAACAGACGATGATGATGTAAGGGGGGAAAAACAAACAGGAACAAGAAGCTTACTTTCTTTGACTGTTCCATAAAGCCAACATAAGACCTCGTCCGCAAATGCCAGACAAACACCTCCCTACCATTTACCGTAAGATACGGATTTAGATATATCACTATGGAGATCGTGAATTCCATTCATAAAGTTCATGAATAAGTGCATGCAGTTACTTATTCCATGATTTTCCGGCTGGTTCGTTCATGAGGAGACAGGCTGTGATATATCTATTTGGTCTTAAAAAAGAAACAGAAACTTCCATTCTAGTCATATATAGGATCATGTTTGATCTGGGCATAGATGGATTTCTAATTCTAACTATAGGTTTGGCTGACATACATGGTATGTAAGTTATATTCAATGACACATACGGTTTTCCCAAGTCCTCAACAGAAGATTAGCAGTTGAAAGTAGTCGGGTTATCGTAAAAAGAAAAAGGCCATGTGTTTATTCTGAAACGGAAATCCGAGATTACGTGCCATGCACGAGTTGGAGGCTATATTCGCTAATATCGAGGGTTTTACGAAAAAAAAGGTTATTTAATGGTAAATAAGGCTTTTTAATGTTCATGCAACTTCAAGCACAGATTAACTTACCTGCCAATAGTTGTTCATTTTCACTCTCTGCGTTATGTCTTTTGTCCTTAATCTTTCTGTATCGACCAGAACACCTCTGTCATCCCTGTTTCAATAGAAGACCGTGAAAACATAGTGGAATGTGCTAATGCACAAACAAAAACCCAGCCAGTGAAGTGTTACCTATATCCGACAACAATATAGGGAATCCCGGTTAGAAATGCATGAATCTGAAGCGGTGTAAAACATCCCAAAACATATTGTGTCATAACATTAAAACGCTGATAACAATTTAAAGGAAATAAAAATATATCTCTGTACCATATATTTGGCATTTACATACCCAATATTTTAGCAGCTCTTCTCTCTCAAATCTTTCCACTGTCCGATGCTCCAACTGCAGATTAGTGGACATGAATGCGTAAATGAAATGGGTATGAATAGGCACAGCTTTTCTCTGAAAACATGAAATGGGTTTCAGCGCAAAACCTGACGAGCGGTTTTAAGGTCAACATAAAATCTCCTGCCTTCATCAGTTGAGTCACAACAATCCATTTGCACCCCCATAAGAATACGATGAGCACCCAATTTAGTTTTGATAACAGCACAATATTCGAGATTGGCATCAACATGGCTTATTTCTTGACCATCAGCTCTTCCTGGGTCTTCCACAGCTAGGGCCTCAAAGCAATACCCCCAGTAACGTCTAAACAATAAACATAAGCAAAAAAAAGAAAGATGAATTTAAGACTAATAATAGTTCAGCATTATTTTTCTTTCTCGAACAGGAGTTTGAGAAATAATACATGCGGCGGTCCAATTCACTCTGTGGTCGCTCTGGTAGTTTATGCTCTTCCACATAAACCACACCATTCCGCTTATGCACCCCCATTTCCCATGGCTCATGCCGGATATAAGCAGTAGCCATTATCTAAGAGGGGAAAAAATAAGGAAGCAGAAAGAAAAAGATCTAAGGAAAAAACAAAGGCTTTCATCGAAAGGACAGTTTTTTTAGGCAAACGTTACCTTCTTCAGGCAGTCAGCAAATGTCTGTTTAAAGAAAAAAAAAGTTAAAACCAGAAAGCTCAGATAATATCTTAACAATTGAAAAGTAGAGCTCTAAGTATTTTAAATGGATATGGCTTGTGTACCACAAAATGAATGTTTCCCAGAGGAAGGTTTTTCGCTCTTGTACAAGCTAGTAGGTCACCAAATTCCCGAGAACCCTGTTCTGATTCAAAGTAAAGATAAAGGGTTGCCATACCAAATCAGTCTCGGCACAAATAGCTAAGAGACATGTAATAAAAGTTATAAAACCAAATGTTAAATGCAGTTACCTATTTTTTCGGTGAAAGAATCAAACCCTTGATTCAAATCAGCTCCAATGTGGTCGGGGATGGACCGGTTAAAAAGTCTCTAGAGAGAGGAAAATAAATTGCGTAAAAAGGCTAGAAAAGCGAGTTATACCCAGTAAATACGTGAAACTGATGAGTAGACTTACCAAGCTCCGCTCATCAAAGTAGACTTCCCCACCTTCTGCTCGACTATAACTAGCAATTTCGCATGGCTGGCGAATAATAAAAGGAAATTCAGGAAAAGTATGATTTTAAATGTGAAAGGATCATAATGAGCTACGCCAGAAAGAAAGTGAGAAAGACCACGTTACCTCCTGGAAGACGGTAGCTTTTCTGGACAAAGTTTCTGTGCTTTTGTTAAGTTTTAACTCGGACACAAACCGATCATCGCGATTCCCATTTGCAAATCTCAAGCCGTAACCATAACCATAGCCCTGTCTAGGAGGATAAGGTCCAGGTCGAGGAAGAATTCCACGGCCACGCCCAAAGCCTCCTCTACCTCCTTGATGCTGATTATTGCGTATGGCCGGTGGTAACACTAGCAACAAAATGCGTATATATATCATAAAGCACTGAATATCTAGACAAACAGAAGGGTAAAATCTTTCAAACGACCCATTGTGGTAACAAAATGAGCAACGAAAGAGACAGAAACTGTATCAGAATGTCACGTTCTACGTATCTTATGAAACAGGGAATTCTAAAACATGCTAAGCCTGCTTTGCAGACAGACTAAATCCACAAACAGCAAAGACAATGATATATGGTTTCATACAGAAGCTGAACTGACAGATAATGCGCAGTCCCGACAGTAATCTTCATTGCCCAGGAGACAGAAAGAAACGACGGTCAGAACAGGCACTTCAATTGTATACTATCCATTGAATGAAACATGAAAATTCTACTCTGCCAGTTGCAAAATTATATCAAATTCCGATACACATTTGCGAGAAAACAATCGACGCAATGCGAATTCTGGTAAACTGTGAACAAATTTTTCATATCAATCATAGAACGATTCCAACACAACAAATAGGAAATTGAAGTTACCAGGAATAGGGTATGGGCTCGTCGCAGGTGTATTCCAGTAAACTTCATTGTCAGAGCCAAAGAGATCCTTCTCTTCTTCCTCCTCTTCATTCCCGTCCTCATAGAAGCCCTGACCATAGATATTACCAGCGTTATTGCCATGGCTCTCTACTTCTTCATCCACCTCTTCTTCGCCTCCGCCTCCATCATTCCCATCGGGTCTTCTTCCACTGCTCGCACTCACACTCACGCTACTGGAATCTCCGCCTTCTCCACTACTTCCTCCGCCGCCGCCGCCGCCGCCGCCGCTTCCGCTGGAGGAAGACGACGACGAAGTAGCGGTGGAGGAGGAAGACGAAGAAGAAGAGGAACTCGATCGGGAACCAGAATCGCGAGAACCCTGGCCTCCATCGGAATCCTCGCCGAACAATTCGACCATGTTCATCTTGGCATAAACAAAAAAAAAAAGGTCAGGCGGTCGGGCGTTGTACCTCGGCGATTCTCCGAAAGCAGCAGCAGCAACAGCAGCAGAAGAAGAAGAAGGAAACCCCCCGACTAGCAAAAAAAAAAACAATAAACCGGTTCGGGTCTGTCGTACCGAAACCGGTTTAATCTATTTGGAGCTCGAACTTATTAATAATAACAGATCTTGGATCCACATCCACGCCACGGCCCACGTACTATTCAACCCAACAAAGATTTGGATTTTTAATTGTATTCAGAGAGCTAGTTTTTATTTTCTTAAAGATTTATTTATAACGATGATACGGAATATATTTTTTATATATTCACTGTAAATTTAATGTTCTACGAAAGAATAATACTCGATAAAAATAAAAATAAAATATATGCACTAATTAAATTAGATTGAGTCACCATCTCACCAATCCCTTTAGAAAATAAATACATGTAAGACAAACCATGCAAAGATGCCTTGAAATTATAAACTCATTTACAATGACATAAACCCTAAATATAACGAGTAAATCACCTTATGTCAAAAACGTATTCATAAATTAATGATCGGTCACTAGAGTTAGTAAGACTTGTTTGGCATTAAATAAATAGTATTGAATTTTAGATCGGATACCAATTGAAATATTACATCATATGATTAAAGAATTAGATTAGTACACTTAAACTATGGCTATTATTGGATCCATAACTACAAATCACATGATATGTATAAAAAAAAAGTTGTAACGCGTTAGGTACGTAGGTGACCGACAGCAAGCGAGGGATTATTTTAACGTAATTATTGTATGGATAATAGTTTGGTACTTCTTATAATATGTGCTTCGAGGTAAAATGGAAGGTTTTTAATAAATAAAAAAAAATAAGCAAATTAAACTTGATATAATTGTTACAAGTAATATATATTAAGAGCATATCCCGATCCCGATGGTACTGGAACTAGTTACGATTTTCTACCCTCGGAGAGCGCGTGTAAGCGACGAACTTGAGAGAGAGTGAATAGTCATAAATATTAAGAGAAAGGAAACATTCTACCATTATATACATATAGTAACTTATGACTCTCTGGACCCACCAAGCGCATTTTAGCATTAGCCGAAAGTTTTCATTTCTTTTGTTCCTTCTCTGGTGTCGGGATTATGAGCTGATTTTATGAAGGTTTAAGAATGATCGCTTTATTGCAGAGAGGACACTCGAATCAAGCTTTTTTTGTTATGTGATGATACTTAATTATTTGCCACTTGGATGCCAGATGAGCTTATCCTGCGCCGTCCACCTTGTTAACCTCCTCCATATATTACTACTTCCAAGCAAGACCCTTTTTGGGAACCAGGAAAAAAGAATCTTTTTTTTTTTGGGGGGTGTTTATAGAACTCAATTATTTACGTCTATAATCTATAAAAAAAAAGGGATAATTTGTCTGTTTTAAGACTTGAAAAGAGTTGATAAATCTCGTGATCAAAGGCCAAACAGATCATAATCAGAGGCTGCTTCTACTGGTTGTCGGGTAATCTTCAGTTCTTGTCTTCCTCTGCTGTTTCTTATCTCTGATTTGTTCCCGAAATTCCCGGTCTTGATCCATTTTTTCTCATATTGTTTCCTTATATAGGTCTTCACACTTTGCTCAGAGAAAACTCTGTTTTTGAATCTGATTCCTTGGCCTTGTTTGAGTTTCTTGTTTCTCTGTATTGTCCTAAATCCTCGACCCTAATCAAAATCTACCCTTTAGTCGGAGTTGAACTGCACCCTCTGCCGGTCTGTCCTAACTCCGCTTTCCGGGTTGAGTTTGAGTTGACTTTTTTTTTTTTGCCGAAAGGGAAAAAGGGGATGGAGGAGTACAAGGAGATGAAAGTGCTTGGTTCGGGTAACTTTGGAGTGACGAAGCTTGCCCAGCACAAGCTCACCAAGGAACTTGTCGCCATCAAGTACATTGAACGTGGCAACAAGGTTTAGCCATTTTTAAAATTAAAAGAATCCAAAACTATATACATGTATGTATTTTTTGGAAGATTAGTATGTTATTATATATTGTGGGTTCAATCAATGAAAGATCGATGTGTTTCAGATAGAGGCGAATGTGCAGCGTGAGATAATCAACCACCGGTCTCTGGTGCATGAGAATATTATAAAGTTTACAAAGGTGTTCTTGACGCCGACCCACTTAGCCATTGTCATGGAATACGCCGCCGGTGGTGAACTTTTCGACCGTATCTGCACTGCCGGCCGCTTCAGCGAAGACGAGGTCCCTTTTCTTTTCTTTTCTGTTTTTTTATTATTATTAAATTCTATTTAAAAATTAACAGAAACAATTTTTATATGTTGAAATTTATCTTGTTGTTCAAATGATACCGAGCCAATTTGGATTAAAGCGGATATATATATGTTGTCTTGTTATGGTGAATGGTGGCAGGCTAGATATTTTTTCCGACAGCTTATATCTGGAGTCAGTTATTGCCACTTAAAGGTATATATATATATATATACAAATAATATAAAATCGTGTATAGATTATAGAATGCGTTGCTGTGATTATGTGATTATTGGGGCTGTTTTGTCAGGAAATTTGCCACAGGGACTTGAAATCGGAGAATATTCTGTTGGACGGGAGCCCCAACCCTCGTCTCAAAATCTCCGACTTTGGTTACTCTAAGGTTTATGCACAATAATAGATACATCGAATATATTTAATATAAAAAAACTTTATAATATATGGTTTGTAATTTCACAGTCTGGTTTGCTGCATTCGAAACCGAACTCAGCGGTCGGGACACCAGCTTACGTGGCTCCCGAAGTCCTGTCCCGAAAAGAATACGATGGGAAGGTAGGTACTCCTCCGTTCTCGTTCCGAACGCATATATAATGCAAACCCTAATATATAATTTCTATGCACGAATATTCCAAACATTAAACGCTAATGTATCTGAAAATATCTCATATATATAAACGGAAATGAGATTTAGATTTTGGTTTTGTGGTACCATATCATAAATTAGGGTCAAATCTGTGAAACGATTAGGATTCGAAATCACACCCATTTTATAATCGATAAACTTCGGTTAGCATAACGTATTATTCGACTTTACCAATGGTCGGAACCCGATTACTAAAATTACTAGACACATTTTTTCATTTAAGAAGTAGAATGACGTTTAGTCCTGAAGATACACCTTTTTAACATGTCATGTAAAGGGTATCTTTTAATCTTTAGAATCAATCGATACGTGTGTGTGTATATATATACACGTACGTGTGGTACGTACGTAGGTGGCGGATGTGTGGTCGTGTGGCGTGACATTGTACGTAATGTTGGTCGGAGCATATCCATTCGAGGACGCTGAGGAGCCGAGAAACTTCTGCAAAACCATAAAGAGGATAATGGCTGTCCAATATTCCATACCCGATTACATTCGTGTTTCAACGGAATGCAAACACTTGCTCTCTCGCATTCTCGTCCTTAATCCATCCAAGGTACCAACGACAAAAATAATCCCTTTTCCACACACAAATTATTTATATATATATTTTTATATATGAAAATCATTTCATTCATTAATCAATAAGACGATGGTTCTTGTTCTTGTGTGTGTTTGAAGAGGATCACGATACCGGAGATAAAGAAGCATGCATGGTTTGTGAAAGGATTGCCGAAACAGCTAATGGAGTTTGACGAGAAAATCAACATTAATGGTGGATCGGTGGACGAGGAAACCGTTCAGTCGGTCGATGAGATTATGCGTATAATACAAGAAGCTCAGTCTCCTGCCCTCGCCGATGATTAGTGGTTTTTAATTATACAATAATAACCGAAATTACTCTTCTTTTTTAATCCGAAAATAAATTTTTATTCTCAACTTGTAAAGTTTATTTGAAAATTCAATATATGGATAACTAATTATCCTAAACGTTTTTTGCAGTGTTTGAATAATAAGTTATATGCATACGTACATCTTTATATATTATATCTCCACCTAACAAGTTCTTCTTCTGTTCTCGAAGCATTCAAGTTCCATGGATGAATGCATGTGATAAATTATATATAATAACACGAATTTTTTCACATTCAGATGGATGGAACCATCTGGATAAAGTTATCCGACTTGGTCGGTGTCGCCGTCGAGTTCCCGACACGTTCTTCCTCGTCTCTCCCTATCTCCTCGGCCTCGTAAGTTCTGTGAACACCGTACAACGCGTAGAACAACGTTATCAAGCTCGTCCAAATCGCGAATCGCTGGAAAGACAGCGGCTTCAACGTCGTCATCAGAAACACGTTTAAGAACGCCGAAATCGCGGCGGGCCACGGCATTAGCGGCACGGACCAGGCGCCGGGATTTGGCGTGGGTGATCGGGACGCGTGATATTGGAAAAACGCCGTGGCTGCGATTGCGATCGCGGGGAACAGCGTCAGGCCCCACCACTGTTTGTTGAGTTTCCACCAGACGGAGAAGGCAATGGCGGAAAGTGAGAGAAGAGCGAGGAACGAGAGGGTATGAAACGGTGCGTTTTGGGCGGTGATAGTGTATTTGCGGTAGATGAGGGCGTTTGCGACTAAGTAGAAGACGCAGAGCGTTCCAAGTGAGATCAGCTCCATTACGATTTCGAGGTCTGTGAATAACGCAATGGAAGCTGTGCAAAGGCCTGAAAAACAACAACAACAACAACAACATGAATTGGATCAGCAACTTAAAGTTAACTACAATCTCAAAAGAGATTAATGTGTTGTTATGTTCATGGTTTCACCTTGATTACTGTCGGATGATATGGGAATATATGTAATCAATTATGTAAATTAAACTTGATTTAATTATAGTGTTCTTTGTTTCCACTTATATTTAAGAAAAGTAATTCTCTTTATTATGAATAACATAGACAACATTTGCTTCAATTTTTTCTTCTTCAATACGTGGTTAGTATTGATTTAATCCTTTTTATTTAACTATGTGAATAACATTTATACCTAAAAAACCTAATCCGTTTTTTTGTTAAAAAGATTCACCTCGATTAATTAGTGTTGCCTGAATGAACCAACAAATTAGTGTTGCATGCGTTGAACGTGATATTAGAATATATGATGCATGGGTTATGTAAATTTAATTTGATTTGGTTATAGGGTTTGTTTTCACTTATATATATATATACATATATATATATATATATATTTAAAATCTTATTTTCTTTTAAGATTAAATTTGTTCTGATTTTTTTTTTTCTGAGATTGGAAGAAAGAAGGGTTATACCGAGAAAGAGAGTGGCGTTGAGGGGAGTGCCGGTGGAAGGATGAACTGTGGAGAGGCAGGAAGGGACCAACCTGGCTCTT